CTCCCTACCTACTTGCCTCCTGATCCTAAGCCCAGCTGTAACTGAATACTTCCTTAAGTAAATCCCATAGCAGGTGATTGTGCTCTGGGGGTTCTGTGCGACCATGGCAATGAATGACAGAACCCAGTCGAGAAGTAAAGGGTGCCATGGGAGGGGCGGCTGGTGTCAGAATTGGCAAAAAGCTTGGTGGAAGTATGCCTAACTGCCAGTTCGGGGTGGTGTGGACTCTTCCTCTCATGCAATCAAAAGAGGTCAGCCTGCCCCCACCCCCCACCCCCCCGGCACCCTGTGCCATTTTTACAGGGCTCCCCTGGGAGCTGGGAGCTGAGGGATGAAGCAGAAAGTGCAGACAGTGTGGTGAAAGCTCAGGGGTTAGAAGTGATTGCAAGCCAGCCGGCTAGGGAGCCCTGTCGATAACTGTCCCACCCAGGGTCTGCGGGGTCTGCCAGCCTGGTGCCAGAGCCATGCCCAGTGCAAGAAACCCACAGTGTGCCCAGGAAGAGCAGCAGCTCCTTCATCAGTCCACAAGAACCGAGCCCGGGTGAAGCGTTGTTCTGCTCCCATTTAATTATCAAAATGATTCCTCTTCTTCTGCCCTCCCCAGAGCTGCATGCCCTAGATTCCCTGGGCCCAGTAATTGCCTCTCTGTTAATAGAAATCATCAGTATTTATTACACCGAGTGCTCCGGCTGATTTCAGCTCTCCTTGTAGCAACATTAAGGCGAGTTCTTGGTGACTCTACTTAATGACAAGAGTAAAGGCTCCCTAACTGTTCCCTTTCCTTGGGAGGGCTGAGGAAACTGAGCTGGAGCCCGAGAGGGGAACGATAGGGCCTGGTGTGGGGGCTGCAGGGTGCCTTGCAGGACCATGGGTGAGCAGGAAGCACGGGGCATGGCAGCCCACTGAGGTGACCACCTGTCCTCTCCCTAAAGTAGGTCTCCCACAGGCTTCGGATCCACAATGGGGACAGAGTGGAGACTTGACGTGAGTTCAGATTCTTCCTCTTCCACTTAAGGCCCCGATTCTTCCTCTTCCACTGTGACCTCCTGATACTTCAGACTCCACATGGGTAAAGCAGGGAGACAAACGTCTCCTTCTCAGGGCCGGTGCCACGATTCAATGAGAAACTAATACAAAACCACTCCACTGGCCTCACCGTGGACGGTGTCCCACAAATCTCCCTCCCTCCTTCCTGCTTCCATCTAGAAGCGATCGCTGTGGGGGATGCAATGAAATGACAGATGAGACTGGGCCTCACACGGTGCGTGGTATGAACGCCGGTTCCTTCTGGCAGCTTCCTCACCCTGTGACTGATGATGGGTTTGTTCAAGGTAGTTTGGTGGTGGGGAGCCTGTGGATTTGGGGTGGACCAGACTGGTGGGGTGGGAGGGCTTCAACGACAGCTGTTATGCATGATTTAGAAAGCTTTGCCAGGTCATTTGTGGGTACCCACATGCCAGTTCTCCGGCGCATAGAGGCCCTAAGTGTGTCTTCTGACCTCGTTCCCCAGGAACATGCGGCTTATCTGGCAGGAGGCTGTGCTTGGCAAAGAGGGAGCTGTGGGGTACGGGGAGGGGACCAGGGTTCCTTCCGAGCCTCCGAATGTTCTCAAAGGTCACATGAGAAGTGCCAGCATGAAATTCCAGGCAGGAACAAACCAATACCACCTCACCAGGGGACCAGGGAAACCCTCGCTCTGCATGGGCGACTCCTTGTCCTCCCTTTGGTTCCTTCGAAACTTCTAGTGTCTTCTCACCCAAAGCCAGTTTCCTGATTCCCATCACACACAGCCACCCCCCACACACACACCCCTGCTGTTTGAGAATCTGCTTTCTTGGGGTGGGGGTGCCAGAGCCCCTTTGGTCATGGAGAGAATGAAGGACAAAAAGATGGAGCAATGGAGGCGGAGCTCAGGGATGTGGAGATGAAGCAGAGGGACAGGGGCACGGCCCAGGCAGGACAGAGGGAGGGGTTCCACCCCGCGAGCCCCCACCCCACCTGAGGGTCTCCGCAGTGAGGTAGCTGCCTCGGCTCATGCCCCAAACGCCGCCCACCACCCACCGCACCCGAGTAATTACAGGGGGCTGGCTCCCCGGCTCCTCTCGCCGCCCTCGCAGGCACATAATAGAATTAAATGGGGCTCCGCAGCAGTTCCGTGCAAGTGACTTATGCCACTGCAGTCAATAAAACCCACTCTCGGAAAGGAAGTTTATTACGGGTCAGGGAAGGGTGGGCAGTCTGCCGAGCTGCCTCCAATCAGTCCCTCTTGGGGGTCCTCTATATTCCTCCTCTTCATTTCCACCAAATTACCTGCTGCAGCCGCTTAAGTGCCCCCCCCCCCTTTCGGATTTGTAATTTAGATCAACTGTGCCTTGGGTCCTTCCACTTGGACGTGGAAGGCAGAGACATTCAGGGGAATCACACATCTTCCTTAGCATCTGCCACTGGAAGAGCCAATCAATTCAGACGGTGAAGGGGGCACTGGCCTTTTGGGGCCTCATGGTCAGTGTCTTCGTCAACCACGGCAGCTTACCTTACATGGGTGGGGATCCACCCCGTATGTCTCCAGAGTCTGTGCCTTTCTTAGAAAGTTCAGCTCTGAGCTTGCTGGTGTTTGGCCGCTGGAATAAAGAAAGCGAGATGACTTCAGGACTTCCCACAGGTAGGCTCCACAGGTCCCACTGGGGTAAAGTGCATGTTAAAAGTGCTCAGGTGGCTGCAGGGTGGAGAAAAGTGTGTGTGTGATTGCTTATGGAATAGTAACTTTTGATTTATGGGGATGAAAAAAACACATCGATTAAGTGTAGGTTGTACAGCTGTCAATGTGTTGCACATCTGTGAAAAGCTGAATTGGCAAAGGTGTGATAGATACATTTGCAACAATGACAGAGAGAGAGAGAGAGAGAAGCTAAGGCTGCTTATGTACGACTAAACACCTCCTGGGGCTTGGCTTCTTGGTTTGGGAGTGGAGGGCCTGTGGCAAAAGGTCGAGTCCTTTCTGCATCCAGTGGGCCCTCAGCTCTGAGATGGCCGTCATGTGGGGATGTGGGGCCCAGAATGGCTAGATGGTTCCGTTTTGCTTTGTTTTTTAAGGAGAAGGCAGAGATGTGGATCTTTATGTGGTACTGTATGATTTAAAGAACTCTGGGCGGGCACAGGGGTTAAGCCCTCAGTTGCTAACAGAAAAGTGGCAGCTTGGACTCCAGCAGCGGGAGAAAGATGAGGTAATCTCCTCCCAGGAAGGCCTGGGAACCTTGTGGGAGTTCTTCTCTGGGTCGGAGGACTTATGGGATCCCAGCGAAGCAGAATGGGACGGATGACTTAAAAAAAAAAGGTTTGATTTGTCAAGAGGAGGAGCAAAAGAAACCCAGCGTCAAGCTGCTGGAAGCCCATGGTGTGTCCTGTTATCCAGAGCAAGCTACCAAGAAGGGGCCGTGTCGAAGGTGACATCGGACCCCCTGGGTGGGTCTATGAGATGAGGAGCAGAAGAGAGCGGGTGGTGCCCCTGACCCAGCGCCACTCTGCTCGCCCAGATCCTGCAGACCAGTGAGCCCAGCTCTCGGCCGGCCGGGGAAGCAGGGGCTGTCAGCACCCTTCCCCTCCTGGAGGCCTCTTTAGCAGGTGTGTTAGGAGCTCAAAGCAGAGCCAGTGGGCCTGTCACCATCCGGCTCGCGAGCCCCAGGAAAGCCAGTGCACTACTGTAGATGTGGGACTGGGTCCAATGTGTGGGGGCGGGCGGGCAGTTTGTGAGGTCAACCACAACTTGGATGGCGGCTCATCATTTGCCTCAAGTCAGATGTCAGGGCAGGGAGGTGAGGCTGGATTCCTGGGGAGCCCTTTTGGGAGAGGCTTGACAACCAACACCTCTACGTGCCATTTTCTCTGCTGTTGCCGTTGCTCTCAGGTGCCTTTGAATCGGTTCTAACTCACAGCGACTCTATCTATATACAACCAGACGAAGCACCGCCCGCTCTATCGGACAATGCCGTGCTGCTATTGATGAGGTTTTCAGTGGCAAGTCCCTCTGAAATGGCCCATCTAGCCCTTCCTCTTGGTCTGTTCTCAGTCTGGAAGCGTCACTACCATCTGTCCACCGTGGGCGACGCTGCTGGTCTTTGAAATACCAGTGGCATAGCTTCCAGCATCCCAGCCATCTGCAAGCTACCTCAGTAAGACAAACTGGCAGACCAGCGGGCCGTCTCTTTTGCTACTCGTTATGAAACAGATACTCTACATAAGGAGACCGAGCATAGTCTGGGCCTCAGGTAGCGTGCTGCAGAGTGGGAGGAAGGAGACACAGCCACCTGCTGTGACGATGTGAAGAAGAGGCTGAACCTGGGTAGGTAATACCTGTGTCCACGGCCATCAAGTCGATTCCAACTCACAGAGACCCTATGGGACAGAGCAGAACTGCTCCCTAGGGTTTCCGAGATGGTAAACCTTTTGGGAAGCCAAGACTCTTATCTTTCTCCCACTGAGAAGCGGGGGCATTTAAATCACTGACCTTGTGGGTAGCAGACAACATGTCACCCACCAGCCTTTGCTGAAGGCGCCCAGGTGGGGCAGTGGGTGATGCACTGAGGTGATAACAGCAAGGCCAGTAGTTCAAACCCACCAGCCACTTGGAAGAAAGCTTCCTACTGCCATAAAGATTTACAGCCTCAGAAACCCATAGGGTCCGCTCAACCCTGTCCTATAGGGGTACCAGGAGTCAAAAGGGACTTGATGGCTGTGAACTTCTCTGGAGGCAGGTACTATGGTGGAAATCCAACGTCTGAAAGGCACGAGAGCACCAAGACACAGGGGAGGGGTTTGGAAAACTCCTGTAGCAGAAAGGCTGCCCGTGTCAGTGGGGCCTGGGCTGGGAACAGAAGTGGCTGGGGCACAGGGTCTTTGACAGGAAGCTTCCTCAGTGGTGAGGTGTGCTCTCTGCGGGGTGGGCCCTGTGGGCTCCAGAGGTGACCTTCAGGGCCCTGAAAACAGGCATCACTTCTTTGGGCTGTCCTGCCTTGAATCTGCTGGGCAGAGCCTTCTGATGGGCAAGCCCCAATCTCTCCAGGCTGACCCGTGCATATTCTTTTTAAAAATTTTTTTCAGGGGTCAAGGACATTTATTTCACAGTCACACAGCTGTACACATTCTATAAATAATGTGGAGCAGAAATATTTACAATGAGCTCGTGCCCATCCCCAGGCCGCCTCTCCCTTCGGGCACCTGGTGCCAGGAGGGCCTGGCGACCCGTGCATATTCTGATCATCACCGCAAGGGGGCACTATTCCCTAAGAGTGCTGGAGGAGCCCTGGGTCAGGCACTGGGGATGGTGGTACCTGCAGCGCCAAGAGGGATGGGGTATGCAGGATTCCACTTCCCAGTGCTGTCTACATTCCTCTGGGAAGGTGAAGTAGTTAGTCCTGCAGGGAGACTTTGGGATGTATTCATTGGTAGAATGGGAGCTTACGTGGATTGCTGAAATTCTTTGTGGAACTCGAAAGTTTGTATTTTGCTGTGGGGTGGAGTGGTAGGGTGGGTTGGGTAGAAATTGCTGCGAGCTTACTATTATTGTTAGAAACACACATAAAAACAAACTTACATATATTTATGCCCTAGTCCTTCTCTAGCAAGGTAGTGATGCAAACACTACAAAAAGTGTAATGCATTAAATGGTGACATTATGCTTAACTTGTATGTAACTCTTCATAGTTTGTTTATCATTTTGGGGGAATTTGTACCACAAAAGGAGAGCTCAAACACTGTTTTTGTTTGTTTTTACATTAGTCTTGGTAGAGCATCGCATTTCAGACAGGTGAAAAGATGTGCTAACACTATTTTATGAGATTCCAAATTTTGTGGGTGAGCTCAAAGGAACTGAGGCCAACAGACCTGCATGCTTCTTGCTGCTTCCTTTGCAGTGTGCAGGGCTGTGGGCAGAGTGTGGGGGTGGGGTGGGGCGGGGTGGGGGGCGGTTGAGTTGGACATTGCTGAGGACATAGTCCCCGACCAATGTGTTCTCAGGGCACCCATAACAATCAAGCGCAAAAAGACAAATAATCATAAAATGCACAAAGAGGACTTTCAAAAGGCCGTCAAAACAGGAGAAGCCCCTCAGCAGAAGAAGCCATCAGAGAGCCGCAACCATCTTAGCCACTCCTACTAGGCTGGCTAAGATAAAACGGAAATGACAGACGGTGGCAAAAAACGAAAGCCCAAACTCCCTCCCAGCGAAGGGAGGCCGACTCACAGTGACCGACAGGAAGGGTGGAACTGCCCCCTGTGCGTTGCTGAGACTGTAACTCAACAGGAGGAGAAAGCCTGGCCTTTCCCCCAGTGTTGGCCAGGGTGTGGGAAGCCTGGAAGCCTTACCCATTGCTGGTAGGAATCAAAATGGTACAACCATATGGCTGTTCTTAAAAAAAAAAAAGGAACTATCAAAGGAGCAATTCTACTCCTAGGTACATACCCCTAAAGGCATGCAAAGAGACACTCAAATGGAGACTGTGGCCCAGTGTTCAATGCAACACTAGTTACAATGGTCAGAGGGGAGAGCTAACCTTAATGTCCATCAGCAGGTCAGTGGATAAGCACAGCGTGAAATATATACATATGTATATGAATGTGTGTATATATATATATGTTACTCAGCAGATAGGAGAAATGAAGTCTTGATACACGCACGCTACTACATGGATGGACTGGAAGACACTTAGGCTGAGAGAAATAAGTCAATCACAACATGCTGCATGACCTCATTTACGGTATATAATGAGACAAGGAAAAGCAAATACATACAAAACAAAGTTTATCAGTGATTACCAGGGGTGGGTAGGAAGGGTAAGAGGAGTGCATAACTCTGATAGAAGTATCTCAGGGATTAAGGGCACAGCTAATCATTGTAATTGCTGTCCATAAATTGTATACTTGTAAAAGGTTAAACCGGCAGAAGTTGTGTGATCGATCCATGTACAACAATGACAAAAAGCGAACAGTAGCTGCAAGGGCTGCTTCTGTCCAGGAAACACGCCAAGGGGTGTGAGTCCTTGGTTTGGAGACATAGGGTCATGGTTTAACTAGACAACCCAGTCAATGGACTTACAGGTTAGGTTGTGTAATGCTTATAGTCACTGCATAGTGCCCAGGGTCTTACAAGCTTTCAAGGGGCCATTGAAGGTGCATTGGTTGGTCTCTAATTGCCGGGAGCAATAGTGGAAGCAGGAGAGCGGGGAAAAGGAGGAAGACAGGGAACGTGGCTGATCATCTCCATGAACCACTGCCTCCTTTGCTATAAGACCAGAAAAACTGGATAGTGCCTGGCTACGATTACTGAACATTTAAATAGAAGATAGAAGAATCTTGACCCAAAGGGGGCAAATGCAGAACAGAATTTCAAATTCTCATGGAATCCTTCCTTTCTACAGTTAAGGATGCTGGATAAACCTTCAAAACAGTCCCCTTGAGATTATCTTTAAGTCTTAAAACAAAAATATTCTTTGAAGTATTAGAACCAAATAATAGCTAAGCTTAACTAGTTAAAAAAATTTAAAAAGTATGTATCAAGACGATGCTCTGTCCCCTCCCAGGGGGACGGACAACAGAAAAGTGGGTGAAGGAAGATAGCGGTCAGTGTAAGACATGAAAAAAAAGTATCAATTATCAAGGGTTCATGAGGGAGGGAGGTGGGGGAAGAGGGAAAATGAGGTGATACCAAGGGCTCAAGTAGAAAGCAAATGTTTTGAGAATGATGATGGCAACAAATGGATAGATGTGTGGATTGTGTTACGAGTAAAAAAGAAAAAACGATGATGCTCTTTTAAGAACTGGCTATATAGTATCAAATTGACAACAGCAATTTCAAAGAGTAGAAAGGAAGCCTGTGGGGCGCTGGGTTTATATCAATGGGGGAGGAGTGAGTCAGGAAAAGAGAGTGAATTCCACAACCCAAGGAGTGTCGTCAGTGTCACTGGATGGGACAAGTACGTGCTGTCGAATTGGTCCTAACACTGGTATGTGCTTTTGCTGGGGATATGCTTAGCAATAACAAAATGAGTAAAAGGATATATGTTTATATATAGGAAAAGAGTCCTGGTGGTGTAGTGGTTATGTGTTGGGCTGGGATCTGCAAGGTCAGCAGTTCAAACCCACCAGCTGCTCTGAGGGAGACTGGCGAGGCTTTCGACTTCTGTCACGAGGGACAGGCTTGGGAACCCACAGGGGCAGTTCTGTCCTGTCCTCTGGGGTTGCGGTGAGTCAGAATCAACTTGATGGCAGAAGAGTTGTGTGTGTGTGTTTTATGTAGACTAACGCACACCAACAAGCTGTCGTCAAGTTGATTTGGACTCCTCGTGACCCCCTGGGTGTCAGAACAGAACTAGGCTCCATGGGGTTCCCGACGGCTGGCTTTTCCGAAGCAGACCGCCAGGGCTTTTTGTCTGAGACTCTCAGGCTAGCAGCAGTGTGTGTCTTACCATTTGTACCCCATCGGACTCAGGGCATCGATAGTACTTATGAGTCAGCACCAGCCCTGTGCCCTCCCATTGTGGACCCAGGAACCACTTATCACACTGTCACCGCCTGAGGGCAGGGGCTTGCCCCCTTTTCCCTCCCCATTTAACCCTTCCCTCTTCTTTGATCATTTTTTTCTTCTACTGCTTCTTTTATGTTTTTCTTCTCTCCGTTTTATGCTTTTTCTCCTCTGTCTCTTTATTGGGGAGCCCTGGTGGAAGAGCGGGTTACAAGCTGGGCTGCGAACCACAAGGTCAGCAGTTCAAAATCACCAGTTGCTCTGTGGCGAAAAGATGAGGCTTTCTATTCCCATCAAGAGTTACTGCCATGGAAACTCATCAGGGCAGTTCAACCCGGGGTCACGATGAGTCAGAATCAACTAGATGTAGATGTGAGTTTGTTGTCTGTCTTTCGTCTCTCCGTTGATCTTAGTGGAGTGAATGGCTTTTAAAAGCCAGCCCTTCTCTGTGTCCCCTACGACCTCACCTCAGCTCGTGCTGTCAGTGGGTGACAAGAGGGAGGAAGAGGCTGGGGAATCAGCCTGGGTCACGGAGGGATCTACCGAAGCACAGCGCCTGTGTGCGCACATTGGGGGGCAGTCTGGGGTCCCGGACCGGAATCGAGTGCTCCTACCTGAGTTCTGTCTTGTGAATCTCGGCGATCTTCCGCTCCAGCTTCTCGGAGTGCTTGGGGAAGAACTGGAACTTGGAGCTGTAGCCTTCAGGGTGTTTCCCAGGATCGTAGTCACCAATCTCCGCTTTAACAAGGAAGGAAAGAGGGAAAGAATTGCGGAGTAAGGCTCAGCTTACTGGGAAAGCAGTAACACAGAAAGAGAAAGCCAAAAAGCACAGATGGCATTTACAAAGAACAGGGGTTCCTAAGCCTGGCTCTGCGGGGGGAGAGGCAGACCCGTCGAGAGGATGCCCACCTTCGTCTTCCTCCCCCAAGTGCACTCTGGGCTGACTTTCCAGGGAAAACACAGAGAGCGGTCTTGCCCTGCATCCTGAGATCACACAAATACATGTCCAACCAGAGGGCAAAAGCCTGCGGTCCGTCCTCATCCATCAGTCACGAACAGAGGCCCCGAGTGATTCTCCTTGTTAGCCACACTGGACATGGCACGCTCGACCGGGCAGACAGGACCTCTGGGGTCTGAGTCAGCTCGGAAATCTTACTCTTGTTCTTGAACATTTAGCAGCAACTTGATGACTGAGCCATGATCCACACTCAGAACTCAACTCTCAGTCCAAATCCAATCCAATCAAATCAAATACTTTGAGGGCTGATGAGGTGCCAGGCACCACTGAGAGAACTGCCGAGCTGTAACCAGAGAATGTCAGAGGTCAGGAGCCCCAAGTCCCATAGCTGACTCCCCAGTCCTCTGCCTGGGGTGACTTTCTCCTCTGACCACTCAGAGCGAGTTGAACTCGAATGTCCCACTGCTGTGGAGAAGGCCATGGAGCCAGGGTGCTTCCCACATTGCATTATGGGTCAACCTCCAGCTTTCTCCACATAGAGATGAGGCAGTTGAAAATTCCACCTTTCTTTCTCCCTGGATATGAATTTGCTTATGCCCTCAAATAGAAATGACATGAATGAATTTTTTGGGCTTGTGCTCTTTCACCCCAATTGCTCATCACATGTACCCCTTCCCCCTCCCACCACTCACCACTGTCATCGAGTCCATTATAACTCATAGCAACCCTGTAGGACAGAGTAGAACTGCTCCTTTGGGTTTCTGAGAAGACTGTAACTTTCTATGGGAATAGACAGGCTCATCTTTCCCTCAAAGAGCAGCTGGTGGTTTTGAACTGCCAACCTTGCAATGAGCAGCCAACGCGTCATCTGCTCTCCCACCTGGGCTCCTCAAAATTGCTCAGAGTTTCTTCCAAAATCCTTTGGAACTAAATAATTTAGCAAGTGAATAAAGGCTTCCTTGAGTCTGAAGTTCATAATGACCTTAAGTCACAGAGCCATTGATTACGATTGTCTTGAAGAAAATCTCAATGTTTAACATCAAGTAGAAACAAAACAGCAAAGTCCAATACGGTAGCAAGCTCCTTCTAACACTTCCCACGGAGGGGATTTCAGAGGCAGGGAGGTCTAAGAAGACCAGGCTGCAATGGACTGCCTTCCTTTTCTATCACAGTTGCGATCTTTCTCTTGAAGAGGGACTTCAGTTTCTCATTGGCTAAAAGTTTCTAGTCTCGCGTTCCAAAACAGCTCTTAGGGCGTGTAGACTTCCAACTCAGAGTCGAGTCTTTGATGGAAACGCCGTGATTTTAGTGTCAGGGCCCCAAATGATCCCGTGGTAATGAGAGTTTCAAGTCTCAGGACTGAGAGAGCTGGAGGAGGTGGCATGTCAATGTCTCCTGCACTTCAGGAAAGGCTCACCTGTGAAGAGTTTGCAGATCAGGTTTCTCCAGCAGCTTTGCAAAATGCCAGTCTGGGTACAGGCCCAACTCTTCGTTATTAGGAGGTGAGGAAATGTGCTTGTTCCTTGGGAACAAGTGTAACTTGGTTGGTCTCTGAAATAGAGACCCGATGCTTCACATGTTGGAATGTTGCCTGAGAGGCTAGGGGAAGATCAATTCAGATGAGGTTCTCAGTAACCTTAGCAACTAAGGGTCCAGAGCACATCCTCCAGACAGAGTCAGAGTGACGGACTCTGTAGTAAGACTTTAAGCACAGTTTTGGATGGAGTGTTGAGGGCTTTCAGCTCTGGGGGAGCCCAGGGAAATCCTCTATCTTAGACTCGGCTTGGGTTAGATACTGTCTGTATCTAAGAAGTAGTCATCTGTGGCAACCAAAATAATGGAATCTGTACTTAGCATGAAAAGCAAATTTATCCTGTCAAAAGCCATTACCTTGCAGGATATAGGCTGCTAACAAGGCAGCATCTGATGTTTTACAGAGGAGGCGCCCGTGGTAGAGATCCCTTTTGATCTGTAGAAAGACTAAGTATCTGGAGAGAAAACAGAGAACGAACTTTAGAGGATTTCTTTGATTAATTTAAAGACATGCATAGGTAATATAGGCCGATCAAAATCTTGATCAGGATTCTGATGACTACATTTTTAAGAAAAAAAAAAATCTCATAGAACCATAGAACAACAACAACAAAAAAAGCGTTTTCCAATTCCCCGAGACTCTTTCATGTGATTTACTCTGAGCAGAGTTGAAGTTCAATTCAAAAAAGCTTGTCGGTTTCCTTCTGCGACTCAAACCCGAAGTGGTACTTCCTGGTTAAGGCATTGTCCTTCAGCTGTGGACTCTGGAAGGAGCTAGCCCCCCACCTCCCCCGGTCAATACAGGACCAGAAACTAAAACCGTGCCTTCAGAAAGGGGTAACCTGGGCTTTCTCTCCATCTTGGACTCAGGTTCCTTCTTAAGGAGGGGGACAGGGGCCAAGGGACTGACTCCACCGAGTGTGCCGCCGCCTCGGTGAGCCAGGGGAATCTGTCCACGTGGAGGAGCGGTCAGCCAGGCCTCTCGGACTCTGAGTTCAGTGTCAGAGGAGGCCTTGGTGAAGGGAACCCAAACAGAAACCTGGGACCACCCCATTCAAACACGCAGGTCAGAGCAGGATGTCAAGAGCGAATAGTGGCCAACGTGTCCTGAGCACGTGTTATCTGCCAGCCCAGGTGTCACATACTTCACATGCACTATGGTAAGTCGTTCGCATAGGACGCTCTGGAATTTCCCAAACCCCTTGATGTTGAGTTGATTCTGACTCACAGTGACCTTCTAGGACAGAACTGGCCCAGGCGCTTTCCAAGGTGCTGAAGCAGACTGTCCCCTCTTTCTCCTGCAGTGCTACTGGTGGGGTTGGACCACTGACCCCTTAGTTAGCAGCAGAGGGCATTTTGAGATAAGCACGATTAATACACCCCCCACCCCCATCCAGATAAAGAAACTGAGGTTTAAGTGGTTTTCTCTTGGACACACACCTAAGAGGTGGTAGAGCCAGGACTCAAATTCAGGTTGTCAGGCTCTTGAACTTGGCTCTTAATGATGATACTCTATAATCATTATGTGGTGGAAGCTAAGCTATCAGTATTTTATTTTATTAAAAAAATCATTTTATGGGGGGTTCTTACAGCTCTTATAACATTCCATACATCAATTGCATCAAGCATATTTGTACATAGGTTGCCATCATTTCCCAGACATTTTCTACTTAAGCCCTTGATACAAGCTCCTCTTTTTGTCCCCTCCCTCCTGACCCTCCCACCCTTATGTATCCTTGATCAATTATATGTTGTTATTTTGTATCTTACACTGTCCATTGTCCCCTTCACCCACATTTCTGATTTTCATCCTTTTCGGGGGGGGGGGCTATATATCCAATCTTGTGATTGGTTCCCCCTTTCTTTACCCTTCC